AAATACCCTTTTCCAGGCTTTAAAAATTATTTTAACTTTAAAATATTTTTTTAAATTTTTCTTCATTAAAATTTAAATATTCCTTCCTTATTTTTTTATTTTTTAGTCATTTTCCCACAGTTGCCTCCTTTGGGGGATTTTAACTATTTAAAATTCTTCTTTCTCCTCATATTTTTTTTATTTACCAAAGAAATTTTATATTTTCTTGCGCAAATATTTGCACTATTTTTTGACAGTTTTTGTCTATTTTTTTGTTGAAATTATTCTATTTTATTTACTTTTATTGTTTCGTATGAAATTGTGGAATATTCAGTTTTAGGCTAAAATGTCTAGGAGAAACAAAGAATTTTTAGACTGAGGTTTAAGATCGAGTTGTTATAAAATACCGTTTTCATTCTAATAGAATGGCCGCCATTCTATTTTTCAATATTCCCCAAAAAGGGGGCCATTCTTTTGGAGGGGCCATTCTATTAGAATAAATACGGTATCTCTCTCTTCAAAAAATAACCAAAAATTTATTTTAAATTAATTTCTTCATTAGAATTTTAAAAATAGTATTTTTGTAGTTATTAATAAACCCGAGACTAACAAATCAGAGACTTAACAGAGATATCCCAGATGTGCTGGGAAATTTTAGATTTGCTCTTACTCGTATCACACCTCTATTTTTTGCTCGTACCAAGTACGTTGGCATTTTGCGTCAGAAGCACTGATGCCTAATATTCGGGTCCCTAATAGGATGACATCAAATATCTCGTTCAGTATTATTTTCTTATCAAACTTTGGCATTTACAAACAAATTATTAAATGTAATATCCATAACAATCCCTCTTTACACGTTCAACAAAAAAAATTTATTTTTCAAATAAAAATTTTTACAAAAAATTATTTATTTAATAATAAAAATATTAAAAAACCTCTTGTCCAATTTTTTTTATTATTTTTAGTTTATCTTAAACTTAAAATGCCCATCTTTCTTTTTGTGTGTTTTTTGTCCTCGCCCACACAATTTTTTTATTTTTTCTTTTATTAAATACTTAACACTCTCCTCTTTTTTTAAATAAATGTTTTTGTCATTTTAATGAAATTTTTGTTTTAAATTATTTTTTAATTAAATAAATATTTTTTAAATTGTAAATGACATAAAAATACGTCTGTCTAATAAATTTTAGTTTAAGTAACTTAATAAAGTATTATTGTAACAGATACTGTCCCTTCTCCATTTTATTGTACTAACTAGAAATTAGAGATCGGATCGAGATTTTTGAAAAGCCTGGACCTGTTCCTGGACTCTGGGTTTAATTTATTGACCTGGGCGGATCCTGGGCTTGCAGTCCAGGAAAAACTCAGGCCCAGGAAAAACCTAGGAAGGTCAAAAAATGCCTAGGACGAGACTCTGGGTACAGGAAAAACCCAGGTACTGGTCCAGGCCCAGCTCGATCTCTACCAGATCGAGCTGGATAAATTTAAAAAATAGTTGGAAGTATAAGAGTTGGAGAAAACAAAATTCTGCTAGAATTTAAGGAACGGAAGAAGCAAAAGTTCTTTTTGTTATAGCAAAAGGATGGGACTTGATCCTGAGAGCTTTCCCATCAGGGCTGCCGCAATTGCGGATTACGGTTGCGGATAACTGTGTTTTTTGAGATTGCGTTTGCGGAATCCGCAACGCGGATTTCTTTTCAATTGCGGACAGCCCTGTTCCAGATACAAGGTTTAACCCCTCTACAACCCCACCAACGACTGTTTGTTTTAATTTTTTTGTTTTATTTTCTAAGCTGAAAGAAAACTTCGCCGGCCTTACACTTTATTAACCAGAATTTAAAAATTGAAAAAAAAATTCTGTCCAGTAAAATTTTTTCTTAACAATTTTTTTTTCATATTTTCTTTAAACTCAAAAAATATTTGGAAATAAATTTTTATAAAATGTGTTGAATTTGTCCCAAGGGAAATTACATAGATGTCTTTAAAAGACAGAGATAAGCATTTTATTTTTTAAAATGCTGCAAAATAAATTTATATTTTTTGAAAATATTAAAAATTTTTTTTGAAATTAAATTTTTAACATTAAAATTTAAAAAATTTTATTTAAAAATTTTTAATCAAGAAAATTTTTAATTATCTTGGTTTATTTAATAGAAGCATAGGAGAGCTTCTCAATAGGGTTTTATCAGTTTTGTATCAAACCGACCCAAAGAACTGAAGGATTTTTCGGGTTGGTTCTTTGGGTCGGCTCCGGTTATTCGAAATTTTCCAGCCCTATTTCTCAGCCGTTTCCTAAGGAGTGTTTGACGCGTTTAAACATTCAAAACTTCTCAATAATTTTGTTGAAAAATTGAAACTAAAACCTCGAAAGAATTTTTCTTTTAATTTTTAATATACGGAGAAGGTCCACAAAATAATTCTAGACCTCTTTAATAGAAAGTCATAAAGCGTCCGGAGCAGGACTGCACGCAATTGCGGATTGCGAGTTGCGGAATCTTTTTTTTTCAAGTGCGTAAAGCCTCGCTCTGGAGAGTCCCATTCGAAAGAACACCTACATATAGGCTACTCCGAATTTTTTTCTCCCTCTTTTTTTTAATAAAAGTACTTTGTATAATAAATAATTAAATTTTATATAAAATTCAATAGAAAAAAAAATAATTTTGTTGAAAAGATTGAAACAAAAACCTTTATTTTCTTTTCAAAAAAAATGAAAAGAAAGTGAGGACATGTGTGTATAAACAAATAAAAAAAAATAACACAAGTTCATTAGCTTAGTATATTTTTCTTAAAAAATAAAAGAAGGAAAATATGTGAAATAAAAATTTATATTTAAATTATTTATTGCTCTACCTAAATTATTGACAGATTTTTTGAGAAAATTTTATCGAGAAAATTTTTTTAAAGATTTGGGATGCTTTATGAGGCTATTTTTGGTAATACTGTCGTTTCTGGGCCCCCTTTTACTTCTTCAAGTTTTCCTATTTATTTAGATAATGGCCAAACTTTGTCCATTCATCCATCACAATTGTCTTTCTATATTTTGCCTACAAACAATCAAATAAGATCAGTAATTTTTATTCCTCCCTGGATGAAAAAAAGGACAAAGTCTGACCATTCTTTAAACATATAGGCAAAAAACTTGTAGAGGAAAAGGGGCCCGGAAACGGCACTATTACTAGGGTTTCATCGGAACCTATATTTTGACCGGAACGGAACCAAAAAAAACGAAACTTTCCGAAACCGGAACCGGAACTTCCTGTGAAACCCTAACTATTACCCTATTCTTTACAAATTTTAAAAATATTTTTAAAACTTTTTTCAATTTTTAAAATCGATCAACTTAAATTTTAAAATTTCCATCTTTTTTACTCTCCCTTTTTCTCCATTATGATAGATAGCTAACACGTGTCTTATTTTATGAATTTTATAAAGTTATTGAGTAAACATATTAAAAAAAAATTTTTTTTTTGAAAAAAAAAAGTTTTTTTCGCACCTTTAAATCCAATCAATCAAAATCAACATAAAAATCAAGTATTTTGTATTTTTTCTTTATATTTTTTGACAAATTGTATATAATTTATTTTTATTTACCCTAATAATTTTAAAATAATTTTAACTTCTAAATTAAAAAATAAAAACAATCGAAACTCAGTTTTAAATGCCCCCAAATTTTAAATGACACTTACGTTTAGATACGATTTTTTAAATTTGTTTGGTTACTGGATAGAGGTAGGGTTGTAGGCAAGGGAGGGGGAGGTTGTTAACGAGACCCTCACAATTAACACTAAGGTTGGCGGTTCTTGCGAAATCTCTGGATATCCGGTACCGATATCCGTACAGATAGTTTCTGAATTTCCGGACTTTTTTCGTTCCGGATACCTGGAACACCCCTCCTAAGTAACGCCCTCTATTTTATATTATTCTTTTTTGGATATGAATTCTTCATCAGCGAGGTCCGACTGATGAAGGACACACTCCCACTGATCATAAGTTTTATATTTCTTCAAATTCAATTTTTGAAATTTGAGACTTGAATTTAAACTTGAATTTAACATTATTTAAAAAATTATTTGAGCATTTATACATACTAGATAAATAATATTTTTTCAGACCTAAAAAATTTTTTTATAAAGTAATTTTCTCATTTTTCCAGTAAATTGATTAAAAAATGAGTACTACTTTAATTAACAATAATTATCCAAAAATTTCCAATCAACAACAAAATCATCAATGTAAAGTCCGTTTTCAAAGTAATAATATTATTAATGATTTTGCTTCTCAAAATTTGCCAAAAATGGTAAAAAATTAAAATGTTTAAATAAATTTCTTACAAAAATTATATTTTTAATAATTATTCGAAATTTTCAAAATAAATTTTCAATTAATAAACAAAGAAAAAATCATTTTGAGAAAATAACATTGTGGGAAAATTAAAAATTTAAAGATATAATAATTTTTTTTATTTTCGGCTTCTAAATTTTAAAATTAATCGCTAAACATTTTTTTGTTAAAAGAGGTGATTGGAATTTGTACTTTTGCGAAGTTTTCGAGAAAAATATGAGAAAAATTTCGAGAAATATCATAATTTCCAGACATATTAACAAGGTTAACTACCGTATTTCCCTATTAATTCCCCATGCAAGAGATGGGTTAAAAATAATTCTCCTGGGGAATTGATAATTCCCCTGAGTTTCCTGCATAACACCGTTTTTCTAGTCCACTCGCTTATTTTTTCAATTAACCAGTATTTCTGGTTAAAAATATTCCTTAATTACCCTTTAAACTATTTAGTTGTTGCCTCCCCTTAATTAGAGTATAGAATAATATGAAACCACTTAACTTCCAAATTCGAATAGAAATTTAAAAATTCGTACCTTAAACCTTCTCCTATTAAAAAATTTTCCCACAAAAACCAGGACATAATACCCTCAACAGGCTGGAAACGATTTAGCAGCTTAAAATTACACAATAAACGAAATAAGCAGCAAAATCAACAACAAAATAGGCCCTTAGCAGCAATGTCAGCAATAGCTCTTCGACAACAACAAAGTGTTAGAAGATTGTTAACAACAACAGAAGAAGAAGATGAAGAAGAGGAGGATGAAGATGATGATGACGAGGAAGAGGAAACTAGCAGCAATTCTATGCCTTTAAACAATACAACAACTAATGCGTGTGGGGATGGAAGGAGGAGGGAGATACAGGGAGATACAAGTAAGGGAGGATTTAATATGACAGTCGGATATAGTGCCCTTTAGGTTATGTAAATTGTTTGAAATGACGTCTGGCTTTAGTACTAAGGTTGTGTCTCGTCCCGTCTTCGAAAGTCAGGGAATTTGAGATTTATCCGAAGCACTATATCCGGTCCTTTTCGACCCTAAATCTAAAATCCGGTCGTAAGAAAATTTGAAAAACCGATCCGACTTATTTCCCCCCATTCCTGATACCCAAGATAAAAATAAAATATTTAGTAATAAGATTTTTTTAAAAATCTTATCGTATTTAACAAATTTTAAAGGACATTGTACTTTCAAAAAAACTTGAAGTATGTACATGTGTATGTTATTCAAAAAATTTGAGAGTTTGAAAACAACTAAAATTAAAATAAAAATTTGCCCTAAAAATGTGGGAAAGAATTATTAAAAATCTTTTTTTTAATATTTTATTTATTTTCTTTATTTTTTAATTATTTTCTATTATTATTTTTATTTAAATAAATTAATTCATTACCATTTATCTAAACAAAAAATATTTAATTTTCCAAAAATATATTTTTTCTTTTATTTTTTTATTATTTCATTATCACCATATTTAGCTTTTTTAAGAAAAAAATAATTTATTTTTTAGTTTCAAATTTCCCCTCGTGGTATTGACACAAACAAAAAACATTAAAAACACACATTCCCCCCCCCTTCTTTTTTGCCAATTAAACACCTTAAATTAATTTAATTTAATAATTTATTCTCTCACTTTTTTCATTAAAAATTAATAAAAAATTTTTATTGTTTTCTCATGGTAACCGTTTATTTATTAGATTAAATTAAATTATTTTTAGGCCTTTTACTTAGCTTCCTTTTCATATTTTTTTAAATTTTCTCAAAAAATTTTCTTTTGGCCTTCTTTATTTTTGTATATTTTTGTAGCCCTATTTAATACCTATTAAATGGTTATAAACAGACATGGTCACGGATACTGATTTTGTTATCCGTATCCGGATATTTACGACGGATACAGACGGATATCTGTATCCTTATCCGTATCCATGTCATAGTCTTATTATTAACCGGTCTATGGAAAATTTTCATTTAGAATAGGAAAATTGGTAAGGAGTAACAAGGATCGCGCCGCCCGATTCCCGAAAAGCGTCAATTTAAAAAATCGTAATTTGCCGAAATCGGGAATTTTGTTTTTGTCGGGGCGATCCCTAATGTGTAGATTACCTATCCAAAAATTACGGAGATATATTTACTTGACATATTCTTTTTACTTTTAGCCTTTACTTTTGGGTTTTCTGCTTGTTTCTAACTTTATGTTTATTTAAAAGAACCCTTAAATTTAATAAAAAGAACCTTTCAATTTAATTCTATCTAAAATTTAATTAAATATACCGTATTTCCTATATTAGAGCCCCACCCTCTGTTAGAGCCCCACCCTCTAATACAGCCCCACTTTGGAGGATAGTTGAAAAATAGAGCCCCACCCTCAATTAGAGCCCCACCCCAAATACAGCCCCACCTAAAAATATTGGAGGAAAAAATATTAGAATAACTTTTAAGATGTATGTATTAAGAGAGTTAAGGAAATAAAGGGGGATATCTATGATTTCGTGATCATTGAGGAGGAGGGATCATGGGGATTAGGGATGAAAATGAGGGATTAATCCCGTTATCCGTCAAAATACTCTAATATCGCCTATATTCCTCTAAATTCCTCCTACATATTACCTCCAAAATCTAATCATTTTATAAAGGGTTGCAATCGTGTTAGGCACTTGATGATAATTCGCGAGATTATTAGAGATCTATTAGATATCTAATCAGTGATATCTAACCAAAATTTCTCTGGAACCGATTTCAGTTACGTAACTGCTATTTGAATTTCTTCAGTTCCAGTTCTGGAACCTGTTCCAAAGCTTTATCAAACAAATCCCTTCATATGCCTCCTAATACCCCTAGTCCAGAATATCCCTCATAATCCCTCTAAATCTCTCAATATAAACTTAATCCTCTGATATTCCCCATAATCCCTTAAAATCCATTTTTATCCCTCTAATCCATCAATGTCAAATAAAAGTCCCATAATATTTCCTTTAATCCGTCCAAATCTACCCATATTTAATAATTAATCTTACTCTCATTGAACTATTGGGACTATTTTGTAATTCATTGCTTAAAAAGTTTTGGTTTTTCTTGAAAAATCGAAAAATATAGATTCTCTTTCGATATTTTGCGGCTTTATCGACCAAACCCTCCGACTTATCTCTAGTTGCAATGGATATAATAAATGGGATTCTATCTCAAAAGAGGGTTGAAAAATAGAGCCCCACCCTCAATTAGAGCCCCACCCTTTAATACAGCCCCACCTTGGAGGATAGTTGAAAAATAGAGCCCCATGGGGCTCTAATATAGGAAATACGGTAAATAGTAATTGTTTACTTGAAAGAATTTAATAGTATAAGTGTATGTTTATGTTTTTATGTTTAAGGAAATACTATTTTTATTTTTTCATAGAATTTTTTATTTTTTATTTTATTTTTTTTACGAATTTTGGAAAATTAAAAATTTTTTTTCATTTTCCATACCCTGCGCATCAGGGCCGTGCGCCAAAATTTTCGCGTGGCGCGCCAAACGCCATTTTTTAAATTTTTAAATCACGCCAAACGCTAAACGCCATGGCGCACAGCCCTGAGCGCGTTTATATTATTTCAACCTCTCGCTATATAAGTAAAGTAAAATGAAGGAAGTAATTATCTAAAGGAGGGCAATTATTTCAGTAAATAAGTGCATATTAGATAGCTCAAGTTACGGCCACCAATACCCACTGGCTCTAAGCTTTGAAAATTTTTATGCCATCATTTCAAGGTCCTTGTTATCCGAAAATGACCAACATTTTTGGAATTTTATGAAATTAACCAGAGTTGTGTCGGAATTCCGATTTCCGACGCTTTTTTCCTTCCGATTTCAGACTTCTGAAAAAAATTTAATTTCCGATTTCCGACTTTTGAGCCAGTTCCGATTTCCAGCTCTTCCGATTTCCAACATCTCTGACTGTTCTGACTAGGGTTGTACCCCGACAGCTCGAGGGCAGGTTTGTCAGGGTGCGGTGGAGTATGAATGAAAACAACTTATTAGTTTATTCTATCAGTCATACTCCACCGCACCCTGACAAACCTGCCCTCGAGCTGTCGGGGTGCAGCCCTAGTTCTGACTAGGGTTGCGCGAGGTCGAGGCCTCGCCGAGGCCGAGGTCGAGGTCCTCGCCCATTTTCCAATCTCGGTCTCGGTTCGACCGGTCCTCGGCCTCGGAGCCTCGGTCTCGATCCTCGCCGAGGAACGAGGCTAAATATACACCCCTAAGAATGGACTTTTTTGGATAAAATGGAAGAATTTTTGCTTATTGAGCTTCCAAGAATCTTGGGGGGCGGTATTGGGATTCCAAAGTATTTGAAAATTTTGATCAAAGTTTTGCAATTATTTGACCAAGAATATGAGTTGTCTGATCTATATTTGGTACCCTAAAGGATCTGAATATGATGGAACTTATTAATTTGAAGTTATTTAGCATTTATCTGATAAAATTTAGCTATTTAATAAAATTTTCAAAAGATTAAAATTTTTTTAAAATCCTCGGTTATCCTCGAACCTCGATCTCGGACCTCGCCTCAAATTTGACCCTCGACCTCGAACCTCGCTTTTTCAGTCTCGGCGATCCTCGGTCTCGGTTTTTTCGAAAAACCTCGACCTCGCGCAACCCTAGTTCTGACTCATCTCTGAAATTAACAACAAACTTAACTTGATTATTAACAAAACCCCTTTAAATAAAAATTATTTTCACTAAGAAATAAAATTTTTTCCTAGAAAAAATGTCTTCCTTCGAATATAACAACACTTCCCGATCCGAAAATAATTCAAAAACTGTAGCCTCAGCTTATATGGCTATGAAACAATCAAATAATTATTCAAAATCTTCTTCTACTCCGCATGGATTAATAAATATAGGCAAAATATTTTTTTCAAAATAATTTTCTAAAAATTATTTTTAGAAAATAAAAGGAGACGAAAAAGTAAAGAAAGTATGATTGGGAGTGTTGATAGTTACAATTCTAAATTATGCTTTTTTGGAATTTTACGAATTGAGGTGAATAAATAGAAAAATAATTAATTAAAAAAATATGGTAGAACCTTGATTTTAGAGTATATCCTTTAATCTGAAAAATTCATCTCTTATATTGAGCATATCTTAAATAGAAGGTATCACTTATATAGAAGAGAGAAAAAGAGAAAAAAACGAGGAGAGACACTCCTATCCAGACCTGGCCATGAACACGGATTTTGCTATCCGTATCCGGATATATTCATGGATATCCGGATATTATCCGTATCCATAGCCAGATCTGCTCCCATCAAGAGCTTTATGTTGCTCATTTCGATTATTTCGTAAAATTTTTTCCGAAACAGCTTATATCCAGAAGCCAAACAAATTTTTAAAAACATATCTTGCCGACCTATGAGGTTAGGCTGTAAAATTAAATTTAATATAAATTCAAATTTTAGACAGCTGCCAGACTTTTCTTATTTTTTTATGTTGCACTAAGTGCTTGTGGGGTAATATTTGGATCAGTAGCTACTATGGTTAACTTTCAAAAAATTATTCAAAAAAATTTTTTTCTCCCTCCTTTTAAAGGTTTGGATTCTAGTTCCTTTAGTTGTTGTTCCCTTAGCAGCATATTCTTTATCCAGACATTCATCAAAGTGTTTATATCCTTTCCTAGTTATTTCTGTTATTAATTCAATTGTTACTTTTTGTATGGCTTTAATTGTTGGGGGGTTTTCGTTGCTTTGTTTTGAACAATTAAAAAATCATTTTGGTAAATTTTTAATTAAAATCTTTTTGTGCTATTTTTAAAGTAAAAGTTTAGGTTTAACCCTCATCTAGCATTTTAACTAGGGTAGCACCACGTCCCCCGAAACCCTGACCCCTCCGAATTTTTTGGAAAAAACCCCGACCTGAACCCCGAAGACTCTACCTCTGCAAACCCCGATCCCCGACGATCCCGCCCCCGAAGGCTCGGGGTGCTACCCTAATTTTAACTATTGCTAGGTGAACAAACTTTACATTTAAATTTTACACAGACCGACCTCTCTGTCAAAAAGCCTTTGAACGTGTATCGGTCAATGGCTAGAATTTTAAAATTTTATAATTTTTCAGAAACTATTGCTTCCCAGCCTTCCTTAAAACATTTTTCAACATCTTTACAAGCTTCTGATTCTTTTATTCCCTTTTTTGACAATTCAAATTCTTCTTCAATGACAACTTTTATTTATTGTGCTTTAACTATTTTATCTAGTATAATTTTATCTTTATTCTTTTTTTGGCAATCAATTGTTCTTTTTAGGTAGTCTTAAATATTTATAAATTTCATTTGATGGGAACGAATATACGGATCCACCTACCCCAATGTGTCAAACTCACTTAATGGGATACCTTTTTTACTTGCAGAAATAAGATGGATGAAAGTATAATAAGTGTTCCTAGGAAAAGTGAGGAAATTAGTGTCGTACTCCGTATCCCGTTCCCGAACGATTTTTTCACGATTCTCCCCGACCCGAACCCTGCTCCGAAACAACTCGTAAACCCGATATACCCGCCTCTGAGCGTTTGGGGTACAACCCTAGATAAAATTGATTATGGGAGACAGAATATCCTCTAAAGGGGTATCATACTTTCTCTAATCCCAATTTTAATTCCAAATTTACTTTAAACTAGTTGTATAACATATTTCGATGTGTTAGCGCAACAAAGAAAGCAACATGAACAACAATTAAAACAATCAGTTGCAGCTGGGATTGAATCTCGAATTCATTCCCTAGCTTCCGCTCCAACAGAAATAAGAGGGACACAATCAGCGGTAATTGGAGGGAAAATGGAGGTGATTAAAATAAATAATTGTTAAGAAAATATTTTTAAAGTGCTCTCAATGTATTTCTGAAATTCGACAACTGGATCAATTTTCAGAGCTTAAAGCATCCTTTAGACAGTGCTGAATATAGAGGAATTTTAATTATTATTTTTTTTTAAATTAAAAATTTTTTGAATTAAACAAGTCTTGTATAAATTTGACCGAAAGTAAAGAAATTAAAAATTTTTTTTTTAATTTTAAAAAATATTCTTTGGTGAAAAAAAAACGAATTTTGGTTCTCAATTTTCTAAAATTCCTAAAATTTTCTATTTTGGCGTATTAAGGGAGAATTCCTTCTTGGGAGCAGGCCAAGGTACCGTGGAACTATAACTTCATACAAATTGTCGGAACCGGAACGCCCTGGTATGGTTTGATGCACCTCGACGAGCTGAATCGAACCATATCAGGGCATCCCGGATTCGACAATTCTGAACGAAGTTATAGCTCTGCGGTACGTTGGCCTCGCGTTACGTTGGGGTGTACCCGGTTCGATGTACCTCTACGAGCGGTACCTTGCGGTGTACCCATTTTTTCTTCTAAATTTTTTTTTAGTTTCAATAATAAATTGAGTAGGGTCTAATGATATGTTTATTTCTCACGACATGTTTATTACTTAAAAACAAAATTTTCTCAAATATTTTTTTAACGGCAATTATCGTGAGAATATTTTCAATCTTTAATAAAAAAAATTAATTTAAAATTAATTTTTACCATTTAATTTGTTAAAAAATAAAAAAATGTCCTCAGATTTGCTTGATATTTTATTTAAATTTGATTATTTTGTTTATTTATTAATTGGGTTTCCTTTAAATTTTATTCTGATTGTTTTAATTATTTTTAAAACACCAAAAGAAATGAAAACACACAGTCGAATTCTGATACAAAATTGTGTTTTGGATATTTTATTGTTGACTATTCAAATGTTTTTACAACCGGTAATTAAAACAGAATATATATGGAGGTGTTATGTTGTTTCCCTCCCCTACCAAATTTCTCTTTGATGTACAAAATGGTCAGTCATTTCTTCCCTGCAAATTTCACTATTGCAAGGTGGTGATAGTCGGGAGTTAAACAAAGTCGAGACCGAGTGTCGAGAGTTCAAAAAACCCGGGAAATTTCCCGACTCGCGAATCGAGAGACCGAGAGTCTCGACAATCACTATTGCAAGGTACCCTAAATGCCACAAGGAAATTAAAAGGAAAAGAAATGACTGACCATTTTGTAAAACAAGGGAGGGAAACAACATAATTACCATATATGTATGTATAGAAGGCTCCATGACAATTGTACAGTGGACAATTGTACAGTATTAAGAGCTTTTTTAAACAATTTAATGTTAACCCAAAGTATCGAAAACCATATGATCAACACTAAATTTTTTAAATTTTATTATACAACATGGTGAGGTTGTTCCAATGACGGAATGAACTTCAATTTGTTGAATTGATAAGCAAAGTCAAAATAAGCTTCTCCGTAATTGAACAACCTCCCCATGTTGTATAATAAAATTTAAAAAAATTAATGTTGATCATATGGTTTTCGATACTTGAGGTCATATTTCTTACTTATTAGAGCAAAATTAAATTTCTTTTTAAAAAGTTCTGAATACTGTACAATTGTCCACTGTACAATCGTCCGCTGTACAATTGTCTCACTGTACAATTGTCGTATACATATACTCAGAATTAAAATATTAAAAATCAGTATTATCAAAAAAACCAGAATAATAATAAAAAATTAGTTGTCAGTCTGGTTAAATTTCCCGTAATTATTTCCGGAAATTTATTAAATACTTTAAATTTTTTAGTTTTATTTGCTTGATACAGAAGGGAATTCAATTTTGATTATTCCTAATGGAATTTTGCTTATTTATATGAAAGAAAATTTTAATCCAGTAATGTGTAATATTGTTGGAACAGCATGGCAATATGTTGCTATAATGAATGGGCATGGATTGTGTGCTCAATTTATTTATAGATATTTAGTTTTGAATAGGTATCGAATAAAAATTAAATTAAAAATCTCGGCAAAATTGAACTTCGTCCCCCCCCCCCTCTTCTTTCTAATTTTGTGTTGTGTCAATGCCAATTTTGAGTTGTGTTCAATTTTGTGTTCAATTTTGCCAAAAATTAGGGTTTGACTCCGAACGCTCGGGGGCGGGTGTGTCGGGGGACGGGGTTTCCACTTTTTTCGGGGCGGGGTTCGGATCGGGGAGTTATAGACACACGCACAGTACCGGGTCATTGGTTCTACATAAATAGTTTCCTCGTACTACGTACTTGCTTATTTTTAGCCTCGTACTCGTACTTCATACGAGACTTTTATTTGCTCGTACTCGTACCTAAGTACCAGTACGGGAACAGAGTTCAATAATGGGAACAGATTTCAATTTACCAAATATTTTAAGGAATATGAAAATTAATTTTCGTCGTTATTTATTTATCCTGTCAATTGTTCTATTTGTAACTGTATTTTATATATTGGATATATTTTTCTTTTTTATTCCATACTCTTCTGGGGGTATAAAATATTTTGATAATTTTAACAAAACATTGCCATATGTACAATTTGGTAGAGTGGAAAATGTAATTTTAAATTTCAAAATTTTAAAAGTTACTTAAAAATATAGATAACATTTTTGAAAATTTCACTGATAGTTTTAATGGAAATATTTGCAACTTTAATAGTATTTTTCTGTGGATTCAAAATGATTAGATATGTCAATTTAAATGCTAATTTTGATCAAGAGTTGAAACGATTGAATAAACTTTTGACAAAAGTTTTGATTATTTTGGTAATTATATTTTAACTAGAGATCGGTAAAATCGAATTCCCGGGATCACGTAACGGGATTTTTTCTAAAGTCGAACAGGACAGAGTCCAGAGTGAATAATCCCGCAACTCCCGCTCACGTTCGTCTATTAAAACTAAGGATTTTGGGATAAGATCCTGTTATGTACGAGACTTCTATGTTTACGTACAAAGAATAACGAGATAAAACAGTAACTAACAAACTGTGAATTATTAATTAAACAATAAACATATGTATACTAGAGATCGAGCTGGACCTGGACCAAAGCCTGGGTTTTTACTGTACCCAGAGTCAAGGCCCCATTTCTGATCTTCCTTGATTTTTCCTGGACTACAGGCCCAGGATCCGGCCCAGGTCAATAAATCAAACCCGGAACCTAGGAACAGGCCCAGGCTTTTCAAAAATCTCGAGCTATACGCGAATATTTTGGAGACAGAATAGAATGAGAGATCAGAATAACACTGCGGGAATAAGAATAAAACTGAATAATAGAAGGGCTTTCATACTAAGCCAATACCCACCAGATCCCTCAAAATACCGTACGGTATCCTGTCTTTGCCGATTTCTAAGTTGAACATTATTGTATTAATTTTTAGGTAATTCTACCAATTATTAACCAAGCTGGCACTTTATTTGTTATAGTATATTCAAAAACAATTAATACAACAAATATTATTCGAATATTATTTCACATTTCTTTTCATTTAACACCTGTATTTAACCCAATTATTTGTATTTTAACAAACACCCCATATCGAAATGCTATTTTTAATCGTGCACAAGTAAATCCACAATAATTAAAATATTTTTGTATTAAAAATTTCAAAAATATTAACTTTCGAAAAGTTAGAATTAACTGTATCCCAGTGAGGGTTTATGAGGAATAAATAAATCAATGTATAATTATCAAATAACAAACATGATTAATAAATTCGGTACTTTCGCATTAACTCCCCACAAAGTCCGCAAATGTTTTTCCGCAAATTTCCTTCCTTTACATCTTTCTCTTTTTTTATTAATACATCTTCCTTTTTCTTTGTGACCTTTCCCACTATAAATAATCCTTCGCTCTCCATAAATTCATTGATTCATATATTTTTATTGAAGGAAAATAAATTGATTTAAATAAAATACTTTTATTTTGTTGGACTCTTTCTTTATTGAATAAATACCTCTTTTTTGTTTATTACTATATTTTGTTCCTTCCACACTACTACATAGTCTCGAAGGAACATAACCATTAAATATTGAAAAACAATGTAAATTAAAGTTTAGATTGGTTATAAAAAGAATATAAAATTTGTACATATTATATTTTCAAGGTGGGTTAGAAAAGACAGATGGATCCAATCTTAATCTTTGCGACATCGCGATCGAGCTTGCTAAAGACCCATTGCAAAGACTTTGTGTTAGTTCCGCAAGACTTCTTGCAGGAACTGTAAACTGTGCCCTAAAATGGAGTGATAAAACAAATGTTATAAGAATTACATGTGAAAAGGTTACAGAGCCATGGGAGCTGCTTCTCTGTCCATTATAAGATCCTGACCGAAAATGCTGCATCGATAAACTTAGAAAAACTGCCAGCACGCTCTTCCCATCCTGTGAACAGTTGGAAACAGCTGTGCAAGAATTGGGTTCAAAAATCTGCGAAAATTCAAGAGCTGAAGGCGTTCAAGCAGCTAAGATTGGGTGCGGCGAAGCCATGGATTTAGCCTTTGCAAAACCCAAGGAAGTTTGCTATTCAATATTTGGCTAAAAGGTTCGGACAATATGTAAATATCGAAAAATTAATTTTATAAAAAATATAATGTAATATTTTTTAGATTGAGATGACTTGTCTGATACTTACAGAAGAAAAAAAATAAAAGAACAAAAATTAATTAAATTTTAATCATTTCTTAACTAATGTTTAAAATATTTTAGGATATAAAATATGTCTAGTTTGTCTAAAATTTTATTTATATTAATTGTACGTTTCTAAAAATTACAAATTTATTGCAAAAATTAACTTATTGCAAAAATTACTCAGGTATATATATGAGTAGGGATGTTTTAAAGCTGACCTCGCAAACATTAAATTACTTTATAGCATTTTTTGATAAAATGATTATTAGAGTTACTAAATAAAATGTTTTGTATGAAATCTTTTTTTTTTAATTTTATATTTGATCCATTCCTAAAGAAGCAATAGACCAACCACCATCAACCATTAGACAAACCCCTGTTATATAAGAAGCTTCTTCGCTAGCCAAAAATTTTAATGCTGCCGACATTTCGTGGACCTCTCCGAAACGCCCTAAAGGGGTTGTTTTCTTTACCCATCGTTCATGCTTTTATTGAAAAAAATTTTTTTTAATCAAGTCCATTAGATTTTTACCAATTTTTTGAGTTCTCCAGTAAATCCATTTTTCTCAAATATTACTGTTTTTGTACAGCCAGGACTGAAAATTTTTCAAAAAAAATTTTTTTAATCAATTATCTACTTGATAGCGTTGAACCGAACCCCCTTCGGTCCATATTGTAGAGCCATTGCCCTAGTCCAATGATCTAGCCCAGCTTTAAGAAGGGCATAAAACGTTGCTAAAGCATAACGAACTGAAATTGTTGAACTAACACTGACCACATTTCCTTTAACTTTTTCAATGTAAGGCAATGCCAGTTGTGTAACGAGAATAACACTGAAAAATTATTTTAAAATATATAGTCCGATTCCCGCTATAAGATACATCTTTGGGATTAAAAAATTCTTTATAATGAGGGTAATCGCTTAGACAGCTTCCCCCAGTGACCAAAATAATTTTAAAAATTATCTTAAATTGAGGTGTATCTTAGAGATATGTATCTTTTAGTAAGGCCTGAATATAGTAATTGAATACCGTAAATACTCTAAGTAAAGCCCTGTGCTTCTATTTTTTCTGGGTGTTTTTGAATGGGCTTATAGATATGGGCTTATATTAGGGAGTAGTTGTTTCTTTAGATGGCCACCCTGGGTGGGCTTCTTTACATGTGGGCTTCAAATAGAGCCTGGCTTTAATTAGAGCATTTACAGCAAATAAATTAAAGTATTTATTTACCTTCTCAAATTAATTTGATAAATAAAATCGAGATTCTCGATAGCTTCAGGATTGTTAATATTAGGTTTAGCAAGCACACCTGCATTGTTTATCTAACAAATTTTTTTGTTAAATTCTAATAAGAATATTAACTAATATATCAATCCTTCCAAATTTATTTATTGTTTCTTTAACAATTCTTTCTGCTGTCTTTGAATCTTCTAATGAACCAAGAATTTTAAGCATTTTTTGAGGAGGTATTCCTTCAGCCAACAATAATTTTTCTGTTTTCTTTAAGTTTATTTTAATATATTTTTAGCTTTGTCAAATGAAAAAAATATCCGCAAAATTAAAAAATATTTTCTCTTAATTAGAGCTCTTTCCACACTCCTCTGTCTTTCTAAATATCTTTGGGCGGCTTATTGCGAACACAGTCTAATGAAAATGGTGGTTACAATTCTGATAAAGAAATACCGTATTTACTCTAATAATCCCCCAGTCTTTATTAATTCCCCAGTCTCTATTAATTCCCCACCCTAGCGATGGGTTGAAACAATAATCCCCCAGCCTCTATTAATTCCCCAGTCTCTAATAATTCCCCACCCTAGCGATGGGTTGAAACAATAATCCCCCTGGGGGATTACTAGAGTAAATACGGTAAATCGCAAATCTTTGTCCTGTAACGGGATTTATCAAAAGGCTAAACGGGACGGAATCAAATGCGATTAATCCCTTAAATCTTGATAATCCAGGTTGTTTCTTAAACTAGGGATTCCGAATGGGAATTCCACGATCCCATTCTAATGCCACATTCTAATAATAAATATTATCCTTGTGCCATCGTTTATTAAACTCTTAATTTACGCCACATAATCAGTGGGTGTACGTAAATGTCCGTCCGAAAACGGCCGTCCCCCCTCTCTTATAACTAAATTTTCATAAATTTATTTTACATCCAATCTTTCCTTGTTTTGCCCATGAATTACAACAGAGGCTCCCTCTTCAGCAAAAGATAATGCTGCTGACTGGCCAATGCCAGAACTCGAACCTTTTAAATAATTATTTGAAGTAACTGAGGGAAACAAACCAGTAATAATTACAACTTTCCCACTAAACCGTCTAAGCGAATCGAAAATGCTCGAACACGAAACTGAGCGAAATAATCGTTGTTTTACTTTATCCTTGAAGAAAAGACGACGACGCATTTTTATTTTTTAATATTAATTCAACTGAAATATTTGATTTGTGATTTATATTTTTGTTATAACATAAAGGCTAGGGTTGCCGTTTTCGAGTCGGCCGACGGTCGAGGCATTTTTTTCGGGCTTGTTTTTATCGAGTCGGGCCGGAACGAGTCACTTTCGGGCCTGACTTTATCGAGTCGTGCACCGAGACATTTTCGAGTCTTTTTTTAAAAGATATATTTAAAAATAATTAGTGGATTTGGAGGGATATCTCTGAATTAAAAGGTATATCGATGGATCAGGAGGGTAAAGGAAGGGCTGAAGAGAATTGAAATGGATATCAGTGGATTTGAGGGATTAAGGTGATTTAAATTATCGGAGGATTGATGTGAGATATTGCTAGATTTGGTTTTATTAAAGGAGATCAGATGATTAAGGGGTTCAGGATCGTATATCAGATGATTAATGTGATATATTGTAATGGGATTTAGAAGGAATGAGGAGATTTGAAGGGATATCGGGGATATCGTGCATTAATCACCAAATCCCTTAATAAAATCCCGCTGTATGCTAAAATTCCTCGTATCCTTGTTAATGCTCGAAATGCATCATAATTTCTCCTACAGCTTCTTTATCACTTCAATTACAGTAGAAAGGAAGAAATCTGGCCACTTAGTCTTCCAAAAGTCTTAAACTTTTCGACTCCAGCGGTAAAAAAAAAGATGAAATCAATGATATACCTCCTAATCACTGGTACCAATTAAATACACACTTAATCCAAGGGCGTATCCAGGGGGCTGGGGGCGGGGCTAGAGCCCCCCCCCCCCCCCCCCGAAATAGGGGAAAGGAGGAAAAAGTAGTAGAAGAATGGTCGAAAAAGTGAAATTTTTTCGCCTACAACCCTCAGATTTCAAAAAATTTTTGCCTGCGGCGCAAAAATGGAAGACTTGTGGACTGAAGACTACGACTGCGTATTTTAAGGTTAAAATTGCGGACTGCGGAAAATTGTGGACTCTCAAAACTGATTGAGTTTCAAAAGTTCAAATTATGACGGGATCCCGCGGAATATATAACATAACTCCCAGTAATCCAGCTTATCAATTAAAGCCAGTAAGTTCGAGATGTTAAGCAAAGTATGGAGATAAAAATCCTTCATGCAGGCAAAAATTTAGAGATATTCGGAAGGCTAAAGACAAATTTGTTCCTTTTTCAGCGCCACAGGCGAAAATTTTTCGAATTTTGGAAGGCCAGGGAGCCAGATTTCTCCCATTTTTGTTCACAAATCTGGTAAAAATATTATCGAGTCTCGTTCGAGTCGGGCCGACTTTTTCCGAGACAATTTTTTTCGGGCCTGTTTTTATCGAGTCGGGCCGTTACGAGTCACTTTCGGGCCTAACTTTATCGAGTCGGGCCGTTACGAGTCTTTTTCGAGCCTAAATTTATCGAGTCGGGCCGGTACGAGACTTTTTCGGGCCAAACATCGAGGCATGACTCGATCTTTCGGTCCGAGTCGGTCCATTTTGGCAACCCTAATAAAGGCTATTTGGGAGGCTAATTAAAGCCTTGGGCGTTTATTTTTCAATGGGCCTCCTCGGGTGGGCTTGTATTAGAAATGAGCTTTTAATAGAGCCGGGCTTTAATTAAAACATTTACGGTACTTATTATAGTAGTAGTAGGCAAGTCATCCTTGCTTCCTCGGGATTTAAAAGCAAACTAGATGCAATTGCCTTCCCCTTCGAGACGTGCAGCCTATTTAAGGGCTATACAGGGACTACACTAAAGCAGACTTTAGCTCAGCTTCTTATATCGAACCTGAGTCCCAGTTAGGTGGAGTCAAGTCCCAGTTAACTCCGGACTGGTTTTGTGTCCCTCTTTAATAGAAGAGTGGCACTATCGAATTAAACGGCACTCTATAACAAAGCTCTCGGTGTGTTAAAAAATAGAGCCCAAGTTCCATTAAAGATATTACAGTGTATTTAATCAGTCACGTTTTTAAAAAAAAACAAGAAAAAAACTTTACTTTAAAAATCATTTATGTAGAACATAAAAAGTAAAAACTTTTCGCCTTCACAAACCAGATTTTAACATTTAAATGGATTTGATCTAAAGAGAAAAAAATTGCGCATTAAAATTGGCTCGAATTTTAAAAATATGTGAACAATTTTAAAACAATTTTGTACTTTTAAAAGTTGTTAAAAATTAAAAAGAAAAATGGGAATTAAAAAATTAAAAATGAATTATATAAAAATAAAAAGATTAAAGGAATTTTTTTTTAATTTTAAAATATTTCAAATAAAAATATTTTAAATTTTTTTATTATTCCAAAAAAACTTTTTTATTTAGCGACAACATGAAATTAAAAGAATTACTAATCCCGGAAGTATGTCAGAATTTTTCGAAATCATTGTGGTAAATATCAACGTGTCACGGGTATCCATATAACTTACTAATACAAGAAATTTAGACTAAAACCCCAACAAAATACAAAAAACAAAATAATAAAAATAAATTTTTCTTATTTACCGATAAAATTTAAAAAATTCTTACACATATTCAAAGGTTTATGCCTTTATTTTGAGGTACATATCAGGATCACTGATAATTAGATGTTAACTAAAATAACTGCACAATAACTGAAACCCTGACTTTTTCCAACCCGAAACACGATCCGAGAAATTTTCCAAAACACGACTTAACTTTTTCCTCAACCCGAGACATCCTGTGGCACTAAACAGTATTATTAGAAAATTATTTTTTGGAGCTGTAAATTTGGCTCAAATTTTTCGGAAGGTTTGTCTAAATTGGTTGGGTTAAGAGGGAAAAATTAAAAAAAAAACCCCCAATAAAATACGAAAAACAAAATAATAAAAATAAATTTTTAGAAATCATCATATGTTGAGGAAAATTATTATTTATAAATATTTCCACGTCTTATTTTTTACAAAATTTACTTCCTATAGGAAAAATTTTGTTGGGAAGAATCTAAAATTTTATAGTAAGCATTTAATCAGATGATATCATTTAAACATAAAATAAGGAGGAAGAAAATAAGGGGGAAAATGTTTTATTTTTTATTTGATAATTTGTTTGCCGCGTTGTCTTTCAAATTTTATTTAACCAAAAAATAATTCAGAAATGATACATACATATAAAACAATGTTTGTGGAATAAATATTATTTAATTTAAAAAATAAAATTTTAATCATTTCCTAAATGAAATTTTCTGTCTTTCTCAAAATTAATTTTTTAATGTTAATATTAATTAATTTAATTAATAACAATTTTGCAAACATCGAAAATGGTTATTTAATTATTTTTTTATTAAAACTAAATTAAGGAGTTTTAAAGTAAAATAGAACACTTCTCCCAATTAACTATGCGCCGAAGCGGTGGGCCCTTTCCAGATATTATAGGATACAAGGGGAGAGGATGTGATCGGGACAATCCTAGAAGAACTTCGGGGTCCTAGAAGACCTTCTACATTAATTAGAGCGTAGAATTAAAAAAATATTTGTCCAAAACAAGGTAAAATTCGAATATTTTCGTTTTGGGTAAAATCGAATACTCTTAAACTCAATATTAATGTAAATTATCCTTTAAAGCTAGAATTTTTTTAAAAGAAATGAAATGGGACCAGCGGAATATCTCTATTTTACATATTATTTTTGAAATTATTTTAACATCCCAAAGAAGCTAATTTAGAAAAAACTAAATTTTAAATTAATTTTCTAACCTTAAAGGACCATTTTCTAAATTAATTCGTGCAAAACGACACTCGTCAGAGTATGATGAATTTCTTCTGTGGCCTGATAATGTTCCTGGTCTTATTAAATGTTTTAGCAAATTAGGGTATGCGCAGAGATTTTAATTAATTTATTTCTCGATTATTACTCTGGGGGATTAATATTTCAACACTATCCGAAGGATTGGGAATTATTTGAGTTTTGAGATTTCAATGTGCAGTAGAGCACTTTGGGGAGGGGAATATTAATGTTTTAACTATCCCGGACACGGGGAATTAAATCGAAAAAATACAGTGTTAATAAATACCGTATATACTCTATTAATTACCCTCCCTCAAATAATTGGTACTTATTCCCCCCCCCCCCCTCCTCCAGTCCGTTTTTTCGAAAAATATATAAAAATGGTCAGTCTGAACAACAATTGTAGTACACATCGAGCTGTGTCGAATGACACCAAAATCAACAAAATCCGACTTGATTTGACCAAAATACAGACCTCTGAAAATTGAACAACCATACCCCGCCTCTATCAATTACCTTTTCAGAGAGAGGTCGAAACAATAATTACCCAGGGTAATTAATAGAGTATATTCGGTAATTCAAAAATTTTTTTTAATTTTTTAAAATCAAAACAGAGATAATGATTGTATGGGCAGATTAAAATGTTGTATAAAACTTCGTTCAAAATTTTGTACATGCAATTTATTGAAGGATTTATAAAGGAAATATCAATTTATCCATGCTTTTTTTCATTTTAAAATTTATTTAAAAAATATTTTTAGTAAAAATTTTAAAATATTATTTGAGACAAAATGTCCCCGTTATCTTTCTCTTCCCCAATTCTTTCCAATAAATTAATTAAAGCATTGTTTGTATCCAGTTCTTTTGAGGAAATTAAAAGTTGAATTAATGGATTTAAAGTTAAAGAATGATTAAAAGGTTGTTGATTAGTTGATAATAAATTGAGTAATAAATTGAGTATTGGTTGTTGTTGGATATTATTTGTTGGTAAATTAATTTGGGGATCTAAAATTTTAAATTAAAAAAATTTTTTCTTTTAAAATAAGGTTGTCAGTTAAAGAAGAATTTTCAAGATCTATTTAAAAGTCATGGTGAAAGCAGCGTCACGGTAGCTCAGTCGGTAGAGCACCTGTACGTGGTGAGCGAAAGCGCCTATCAATAACTGCCAGGAGGTCGCAGGATCGAAGCCTGGCCGGGATTAAACTTCTACCTCGCTCTTACTATTATAGTGTAATTATTGGGGAAAAATTTATGAGGGCAC